CCCTATAACACTGACCTTTGCCCTCTTGCACACTGGTATCCTATCTAAAAGGTGCCCATACACTGCACGATTCTTGTACGAGAATCGCGGGAAATCCCGCGATCGTACGACAATCGTGCAGTGTGAATGAAGATGTGCGACCGTTTCTACTGTATGGTCGCACGTCTTTTGTCTAAGGAGCACGCTAGAAAACCAGCCGCAAATCTTACGATTTTCGGCTGGTTTGAATGATGCTCGGGAGACAAATGCCGAACGGGCCGGTGTGCACACGACGCAGGGGGGCGGGCTTGCGATGATCGCAAGTACGATCTGCCTGACCAAGATGAGCAGATCGTACATTTTTAAAATTACTTTACAACCATCGCAAGACTAAGGTCTTGCGACTGTTGTAAAGTGTATGGCCACCTTAACACAGGCATTACCTGATCGGACAGATCCAGGCTTCCTCGAGCCGCTGATTTTTCTTAGAAGGGTAAAAGGACAGCGATAAAGGGCATTTCATACAATATACACTGCCTGTTCCAAAAATAAAAAGTTACACACTCTAATATTTCATAGGACAGCCTTTAACTTTGATTACTGCATTGTTTCGATAAGCTTATGCAATATCACATTTATTTCCATCTAGAATTGCATTCATTTTTCACTAAGATCTTGTAGTGATGATGGGAGAGTCGGACCACTGTGTAAAGTCTTCTCCAGCACACCCCAAAGATTCTCAATGGGGTTAAGGCCTGGGCTCTGTGGTGACCAATCCATGTGCGAAATGATGCTCCCTCTCATGCTCCCTGAACCATTCTTTTACATTTTGAGATGATGACATTGTCATCTTGGAATATGTCTGTGCCATCCATTGATGGGGAAATCTGGTCAGTCAGTATATTCAGGGAGGCATCTGACCTCATTTTTGGGGGATATAATGTTACTGGACCCAGACCTATTACCCAATGGAAGGCTCTGACCTAGTTTCCTAAATGAAAAACTGTACTTACAGAAATTTAGGGACTGTCCCTGCTGACCACTTTATAAAAAAATATTCCATCTGCCCGGCTTTGCTTCCATAGTAAATCAAGCCGAGCTATTGTTTTCCATACTGGTTCTGAGCCAGCAATTCAGCACATAAGCAACTGGTCCCACATGACAGCCAGGGAACTAGTGTTTTCAAGAGAGGGCAGCAAAGTAAGGCTGAGTGCAGAGGAGTTTTGAGCCTTAACGAAAATGCAAGCCACATATAGCTGAAATGTATTTCCCATTAAACGCTAAACTTCAGCTAAAACTTGAATTTGTTTGATAAGTTATAGAAAGAGTAGAACCTTTATTACTGGTATGTTACCTATTTGGGGATTCCTCCTCACTGCCTGAGGAGTATCAGAACAGGAAGTATGCAAATGTCCCCACTTCCAGCTGGACAGAAGAGGAAGTGACACCACCACCCGCTATAGGAAACAGAAACCATATAAAACAAACATTTTAGTAAAGAAGGTTTAGAACCTCTGCGGGAATTTCACTGCTGTCCGTCTGCGACCGTGTGCCTGACATGTCAGCTGGCTGTGGGCCACACAGTACCGCCTCACGGGCCGGAGTTGGGCCGCGGACCGGTACTTGGAGACCCAAATTTCCACTCGCCCCCTCACCTTATTTTTACTCGCCAAATGCGAGCAGAAATTTTGAGCCCTGGTATAGAACATGGTTTACTTGTCCTTTTATAGGGCTGCTGAGGAGGGGAGAGAGGCTCCAGGAACCAGTCTAAAAGCAAGCTGGATTGAATGATCAGGAGAGTATAACTTTTTTAGCACCTAGACATAAATAGGTGTTTCACAGATGCAGGTGTAGCCCAACTGCAAGGGTTAAGAAAATTCTGCCCGGAGTTCTTCTGAGGCCTCGTTCCCACCAGACAGTGCATTCTGGCCAGAACGCACTGCATCACATTGCAGCCAGCTCACTATGTTGTGGGGCAGGAGTGGGCATGGCGGCCCACTGAAGTGAATGGCACCAAAGCCACGCCCTCCGGCCGCACAGGAACGCAAGGCACATTGTGCCTGCGGTCCGGTCCGAACAAAATGCTGCAAGCCATTCACTTCAATGGACCACCACTCCCCCTCCTGCCCCACAACATAGTGAGCCAGCCGCAATGCGATGCAGTGCGTTCTGCCCGGAATGCACTGTCTGGTGTGAGCGAGGCCTGAAAGTGTTCACTTGTATAAAAAGACTAGTAGACATCCATTTTTCAGAAGTGTAGTGTGAAACCGTGCCTGTACCAGACAACCTTCACTGAATGATCGTTGCTTTCCAAGTTTTCAAAAACATACCTTTTAATAGGTGAAATAAATACTCCAGTACATGCAATTTAAAAACGGACATAAAAAAAATGACAATAATTTTATTATAGTGTACAAGTCAGAAACATTCTTACTGTAACCCACCCTCAACAGCATGTCAGCACATGGGAAAATCATTTGCTTTGCCTCATTCTGCAGGCTCTCTACACACCCCATTCACACTCTGTTGCAGATTTCAAAAAATGGAGCTACATCCAGCAGCTAAAAGCCATACAAATGTCTACAAATAAAATTGAGGTAACTTTATTTTTTATTCCTGCAGATCATACACAGCAACATTCTGATGGAACGTCTGGAAGACACTGGCTAAAACCGCACCCAGCACGGATTTTAAAGCCTTGATAATGCCACTTTAGTGCCAAAACCGGTACTGAAAGGGGTAAAAGGAGGCTTAGCAACAAAATAGTCATGGAAAGGCAGGGAGTTGTCAATGAGAACTTGACACCTTCAGACCTATGTTAAATTATGGTAATAGTGCAAGTTCTTGCAACACTCGATGACAAAGGAAATATGAAGATCTTTTAAAATCGCTGCGCACAACTGAAAGTGAAACTTTACCCTCTAAATCCTAGAATCTTGGTTGCTTGCTCCCCCGGATCACTTTGTGCAGGACTGGTTATGCCTGGTATACAGAAGCATGCCACAAGGACTTGTGAAGATTAAACAGCAAGTCAGGGCAAAGACCGAAACGAAAAAAAAAAAAAAAGGATTTATCCCCTTCATGACTGAGGCCCTTTTTTCAATTTTTGCACCCATGTTATATTCCACATTTTAGACAATGCGCAGCAACTCATAGCGACCTGGGAATCTTTCACCATTGAAAATGGTTGCTATGGGTTCCTACACATCACTGCTTCCTGCACTTCCCAAATCTCTTATGGTCAAAGGGACTAAAAGTAGTTACAAGGATTGCCAAGCTAAAAACAAAATGGATCTTAGGACCACAAACTATGCAAATGATGGTGAAAGGAATTACTGATGGCACTCTAGTACTTTCACTATTCTATTCAGTGCAATGCATTTAAAAAAACGTTTGCATTGAATCACGTTAAATGAAAGCAACTTTTACCAAACATTCCCTTGGGAGAATCACTCATTTAAAACGACACTAAACTCGGGAGTTAAAATATTAAAAATGCATTTAAGTACCCTAACTATTAACAAAAATATATCTTATTTGTGCATCACTCAGATCCTCAAATCATCTCTGAATTGGTGCTGACACTGTCCTTCCTTCTGGGGGGTGGATACTTTTGTTCCCCATGGTCCCTGTGTGTGTTGTAAAGTAGTCACCACACCAAGCTTGCTCCCGTTATGGACTACAATCTCATGTTTAGTTTACTCATTTGTATTGAGATTGTAATCCCTCACAGGAGTGCGCTTGGAGCGGTGGCTACTTTACAACACACACAGGGACCATGGAGAACAAAAGTATCCACCCCCCAGAAGGAAGGACAGTGTCGGCACCAATTCAGAGATGATTTGAGGATCTACAGCCCAGTGATACACCAATAAGATACATTTTTGTTAATAGTTAAATCTTTAAAAAAAAAATAAGACTAACTCCTGAGTTTAACGTCACTAACACATGGAACCGGAAGCTTCACCTGCAGAGAATGTTTGCTGAATGTCACACAGATTAACACCGCGGATGTCAACTGGTTAAGGAGCATTTACTACCTGGCTGCTGGGATTTGTGCCGAATAAAGAGGTCTGGTCCTTACTTACTGCGATGTTTGAGGGAAGACTTGTTCATGACACCCACAAGCAATCATTCCCCTTTGTACTCTATAAAACGCACTGTAAGAGAATATAAAAAGGAGAATCCTTGTGGTTGGTATGGGCAACAAGAACAGATCTTCTTTCAGACATAAACAAGGTCATTAATTCATTCAAATACATAAAGAATATTAGTAGTAAAAAGCAGATATTGGAGCCATCAGCCTCTGAGAAGGAGAGTGCCAGAAATGATAGATTGCAGCTCATTAGTCGGGCCCTAAAATGACAAATTTCAATTGTCATCTTTAGTATGATAAAAATGAAATACTGGAGGGTCAAGCTCTACAAAAGGAAGAGACTACAAGTGTATTTTCTGAATAAGATTTAAAATGATGCTGGTTATTCAAACATAGGTAAGCAATGCACCAGAATAAAACATCGTGGGGAGAATTTATCAAAACTGGAGCAGACAGAATCTGGAGCAGCCATGCATGGCAACCAATCAGCTTCTCTCTTTCATTTAAAAATCCTAACTGAACAAACTGAAGAGAGAAGCTCATTTGTTGTAATGGGCACGTGCTCCAGATTCTGTCTGCTCCAGTTTGGATACATTTCCCTCCCTGTGCTTCCCTCTGCAAGGGACGCAGTATGGAGCTACTCCTCATACCATCGAGTTGTAGGATGAAAACGACACTACACACTTGTGATTCGTGTGCTGATCTGCATTTGAGCAATTTATCAGGCACCCCACTACCCTCACACCAGGCACAAGTGAATTCACTAATTCCCCAGCTCTACTAGCCACCTGCCAAGAAGAAATGCAATTCTCAACTAGCACCTCCAGGTCTGAGGAAGCCTGACCATTTTGTTTTCATATACTGTGGGCTTCTGCATGTGTATTTTTCAGCTGAACCAATATTCTTTGGTAAGATTAAGGGAGAGCCTTTTCCTCCCCAATTTAGGGGGATTTCACAGAATTGGAGTGCACTGGCGGAAGAGTTCTCGGAGATGATCGCTCTCTCAGGGCCTGAGATAACAAGTTGCAGCCATCGGAGACGGCGCAAGCCGAGCTCCGCAACCTGTCCTTATAGTCGGTCATCTTGCTGCTGCTGTCAGAATGCTGGGTTATATCCCTGAGGCACTGGGTCAGGAGGACGCAGGCCGACACCACGCTCATAGCACCCCCTAGAATCGCAGTCTGCACCGCCTTGCCTTCCGGATTTAGAACGGCGGCTTTGCCCAGGAACTGGGGCTCGGTGGCAAAGCCGACTAAAGCATGAACAGCTTGCACCAGGGGGCCGCTGAAGAGAGCGCAACGGTTCCTAGAGAGTTCGCTGGGGGAGGTCTTCACTTCCTTGAAACAGGCGAGCAAAGCCGTGGCGCTGGTGCTCATGCACTTCACTCCCAGTTTGAACTGCTCCTTGGCAAACTTATCTCGGGACTTCTCGCTGGCAGCGACGCTGGCGTCCGTGAGGATCTTAAGGTTTTTGGAGACATTTTGGGAGATTTCCAGCAGGAGCTGCGGTGTCAGGTCCTGGAGGGGCACCGTCCTAAGCAGGGCACAGCTCTGCTCCACCTCGTGCCGGCACCGGGTCACACGATATCGGTCCACCAAACCCGGCAGGGCAGCGTGAGAGCCCGGCACCTCCACAGCCGCCAGGTATGCAGCATGGGCAGAGAGTTCTACCAGAGACACCACCAGGTCCCCCATTTCCTGAAGGCTGTCGCCCATCTCAGTGAAGCGGCCCATGTTCAGCTGGCTCTGGACATCATGGGTGAGGATGGACAGGCCCTTGGTCCTGGCAATCACTGTGTCCCTGCACTTCTCAAAGGCTTCTCCCAGCTGGGTAGACGAGCTCTCCGGGTGGACTGGCCGGGGCTCACTGGACAGCAGGAGCAGGTCGGCCACCAGCTGCATCTTGGCCTTGCACTGGAATTCCTCGGCCAGCAGGAGGATCTCGGGACCGTCCCCGCTGCATCATCCCATTCCAGGGCTGCGGGCACTGCCCGGGGACCTCACCGATTCCGTTCACACCCGCCTGCGGCTCCCGTCCTCCCTCATGGCAGCGGACAGCTCCTCGGGCGACCGGAGAAGAAGCAAAAAGAAGGGCGACCCGCCCAACAGCAGCTGTCTTTCCCGGCCAGGATAAGGAACGTGGGACGGCGCCGCCCTGTGACGTCACCCCTCCGGCCACCAACAGGCGGAGACAGCGCCATCTAGAGGACGAGTTGCGGTACAGCAACTCACGGCGCTGTGATTGATTATAATTTATAAGCAATATAGATGGAAATGATTGTAGTGGTGACATTATTTTTTAATAGGACTGATTGCACAGCAGCATGTGAGCTGTCACACCATGGTGATCATACACTGAACCAATTGCTAATGGTCAGTGTCAGCTTTAGGCAACCCCGGAACTCCAGCTGTGATGAAACTACAAATCCCATAATGTCTCTGCCTCTGGAAGTTATGCCTGTGGCTGTCAGAGTCTTGCAATGCCTCATGGGACTTGTAGTTCTATGACAGCTGGGGTGCCGAGGTTGCCTACCCCTGGGCTATGCCTATGGGCATACTGCAGACTCTGTAGACACCCCCTAGCTGACCAGTTTTGGAAGAAAACACTTGTACAATCCCTGATGAAGAAACCTTATGTGTTACTTGAAAAGCTTGCATCTTTAATAGCCTAAAGTAGTTAATTTTCAACATCATTTATAATCTCTTTAAATATGCCGATTTCATTAAAACAATACCTTGTGACCCTGCCATGAAGGTCCTTGGTCAGGCAATTCATATTATAGGGTGACAATGCTCCATCGCCTTCTCCCAATTGTTCTTCTTTGCTGTCACAAGGGCTTTCAGTGCTCATTGCAACACATTAAGCAATCATTGTTTACTGTTGTCACCATTAAAGAACTCACCCTGAGAAATGCAATAGAACCATCACTGGAATGCATGCATATAGACAGGAAATGGCTGAAGGAGATCAGCAACACTGCAACAAAACACATGAAAATAAGTATTTTATTGCTGAAGCAAATAACCCGGTTAGGGTTTATGTCTAGTTTAGGTTAGCCAATAACAGGTACCGATTGGCTTTTAGGCCCAGGCACTGTTACAGTTAAGCAGGTTACATGCCTTCTCCATACACAGAAACGCTGGGTGTGACCTACATGGGCAAGCTGACACTTAGTGATGTGCATGGGCTTGCAGCAAACCTACTCAAAACTGTCTCACTGACACCGGGGGGGGGCCCCACTGATGGACCAAGAGTGGGAGTGGGGTGCAAAGTTGTCACTGACAACTTTGCATGGGCTTGAGCAGACTTGGTTTTCCCACACACATCGCTAGTGACATTGCATCTCTAAAGTAGATCTAAACTATAACTAGACCATATTTAGTTTGGTAAAGTACAGAATATCATAAACAATTGCCATTTTTTTAACATAAAATACTGTTTTTTCCTTTATTATTCCTTCTTTTGCATCTCAGGGCTGTTGATCAAGTCCAGTCTCTTTCAGGCATTTCCTGTCTACAAATGCATTCGCCCCAGTGTCGGCTGCATATCATTGCATCCGGACCAGGTTCCTGATAGTGACAACGGTGGACCATGCCTATGCAATGTGGGTCGACAAGGCCAATGTAGTTTCAACTACACGAGACATGTGGCTGGGAGACAACACAGGAGCACAATTCAGAGACAGTTGTCCCCCCCCTATAACAGGAAGTGACTGAACATGGACCTTCCTGGCAGGATCACCATGTATTATTTTAATGCTTTTACAAGGCTGAAAATAACATTTGAATTTACATCAACAGGTTGGAGTCTATATGAGATTTCAGTGATTGGGCTATCTCTCTTAGAGATAAATCTGAAATTGATTTTCTCTCACAATTTCCAGTTTTCCTGATCTGAGTTTAGTGTCCCGTTCAAAGTAAAAACCAGTTACAATTGGTCAAATTGTATTTATGAAAAGATCTCACAAGACACTTTGCTATGTAAGACTTTCTCCCCTTAATGTGGTATTTGTAATGAATGCAATTAAATACATAGTGAAACTAAAATCTACCAGCACAAACTATCTTCTGAGGTAGTAGAATCTATAGAGTGAACCGAACAACATCCACAAAGTTCTCCTTTCTGTTCTTCACTACCCACGCTGACCACAACAAAAATGGAGACGGCGCTCTGACGTTATCCGCCAATGCGGGCTGTGAACAGGCGTCGCTCTGCCATTGGTCGGTTCATACGAATTCGTCCAATAAACATACGCTCTGACACAAATGTCCCCGCCTTTTATTGCACCGTATCGGAAAGTATGATAATGCGCATGTGCGGTGTGTCTCCGAGTGTTGGAGAAACATGGCTGCGCTCAGTGTGCGGTCTGTGTGTGTCTGCCTGCTGTTCATTGTCACTCTGACCGGGGCCGCCGAGGAGAAGAAGAAGAAAAAGAAAGATATCCGGGATTACAATGATGCGGACATGGCCCGGCTGCTGGACCAATGGGAGGTCAGGACTGAGGAGGATTATACATATGAGTTTGACTTCACTAGTGCCTGTGAATGTGGAATATATATAATTATAATAACTAGTGGGAGCATTAACAGACGTCCCAGTATCCTTTCCCAAGGAATGTTTATACGAGGCTGCCACAATGACCTCCTATGTATTGCCCATGTGGACACACTGACCTCCTAAGTATTACCCATGTGACCACATTGATCATTGCCTCTGATGTTTGGGAATTGCGGGGAGCCCCAATTTCTCAATAGGATGCCGTGACACCCTGGGGTGCCTTCTGGCTTCCTCAGGAGAGCCTTGAAATTGCCACATAGTGTCATTCTTTTCCATGGTGCAGGTAGTCTTATGTGGAAGGAGGGGACTCCTAATGCATAGGTGAGCCCCCCATTTTATTGTGTTTTTGCAAAGGGTCCCTCCTTAAAATCCATACCAGACCTCCTATACAATGGTACACGAACTTAATTCGATCCACGATTCTGGTCGCGAACCGAATCAAACTGTGATCAGACCGCGATCTCAAATAGAGGAAGCCCCGACCAGTGTCAGAGTAGGGAAGATAGCTGCGGTTGTGTTTGTCACCCGATGTGGAGTTCATGAACGCAAGCAAAATGTTCCCAAACTTCCTGTTCGCGAACCAAATTGTTTTGTGAACCGCGGTACCTCTGTATATGATCAGGAACTGGTATCAATTTTTAAGGGACCATGCATCATTTTTTACATTTGTTTTTTAGACTGGGTGCCTTGAACTGTCACCTTCAATTGAATCCCTTCAACCTGTATCACATCAGGCAGGCCCTTGCAGTACATAGTTGATGGTAGAGCTTAAGAAAATTGTACAAATAGATTGGCTAGTAGGTGGCCACCCGTAATACGTTACATATGCTATCTAGTCTGTTAAATACTCCTTTAATTTATTTTAAGCTATAACTTTGACAAGCATTTGTTTCAAAAATCATTCATTCATTCATCCTTTGACTGATATCTGTATTATATTTTTGTATTGGAACTAACGGTACGCCTTGTTCTCTTTTTTATTAAATAGAAAGATGATGAAATAGAGGAAGGTGATCTGCCAGAGCATAAAAGAAAGCCTGCTCCAATAGACTTCAAGAATCTTGATCCTGGTAACCCAGAGAGCATCCTACAGATGACCAAGAAGGGCAAGACTATAATGATCTTTGCTACGGTGTCTGGAAACCCTACAGAGAAGGAAACTGAAGAAATTACCAGTCTGTGGCAGGGAAGCCTTTTTAATGCTAACTATGACATTCAGAGGTAAGAAGGCAGCATGTTATGGAATCTTTGACAAGATTCCTTATAGTCTTCCATCTGTCCTCCATTAATTGAATTTGTTGATTCATGAATGACTGGCTCAGGGATGATTGGCTGTACTTGGCTATGCCGAAACAGAGCTATAGATGCTTAATTGTCAGTGCTGTGTCATGTACAGGCACACGTGGGCAGTTGTATTTGGGTGCTGCATACAGACAAGCGGCCAGATACTGTGTGCCAAAGATTTTACAGGGTGCTATGGATTTTTCTAAATAAAGGGCAAAAGTCTGTTTTCAGATTCACTGAATATACATTTTGACCCTGCGTTATAGGAACTGAGAGCTCTGAAATGACAAAACGGTTCCTATGGAATGTTTCATATTTGCCTGACTTCCAAAAAGCATAATTAAAAAACAAAAATGTCCTGACCCTAAAAGAAAACTTGGATTCCTTATAAAGAAGAACTTATTCTTAACCGTTGCAGTGCGGGGTAGCTCCTTTTGGTCTAGGTGCAAAATAACAAAGATATAATCACCCGAAGCTCCGAGCCAGCTGTCACAGCGCTCCCTCTGCAGCCCCTCTCTCCCCTAGACAAAAACAAGCAGCTAACCCTTGCAGTGTGGGGGTAGCCCCACTACAGACCTTACTAAAACAAAAATAATATTTCTAGAGTTCTTCTTTAAGAAACGTATTATTACAGTTGGTGCGTGTGGCTTCAGGCTTAGAAGGAAGTCAAATACAACTCAGTGCTGTTGCCTTTATTCATCCTCTGCAGCCAACAGCAGAAAACGTAATAACTTGTAGTAAAATTGGAGGGCGAATAAAGGTGAATGTAAGCACCTTTTATAAATATTACACTTGGTGTGGGTCACTGCCACATGGTACAACTCAATGGGGTTGATTTACTAACCTTATAAACACGCCACGAACAAGTATACACCTCTGTAGTGTGTTCCCTCCCAGCATGATCTATGGGTGGAATCTAGACACCTTTGCAGTGTGTACACACCCAGCAGGTGTGTTGTGCAAGGCCCTGCATGCATTGCAAGGTGATGTTGTGTAAATTAGCTCTATGTTGTGTTGCTTGCGTTGATGAATGCAGGAATGTAAATGCATGAGCTAACCATTTTTGTCTAAACTGTGAAGCAGCATTATATATGCATCATGTGCATGATTTTTCCATATATGGCATTAGTGGAAATATGCTTTTAGAGACTTGCATGCCGCTGTTAGGGCGGCGTGTAGCCTATGGCGCGTGCTACATGAAGCGCACGTACGTAAATACATAAAAACGCGCCATAACGGCGTGAAAATGTGACACGTTGCTTGTGTTTGGTTGATAAATACGTTTTGCTGTGTAAAAATGCACATGCACCTGGTGCGTGTGTGTGTTTTTAGGTTAGTAAATCACTCCCAATTAGTCCAGCAAATATTGATGCTTCAGGCTAGGTGGTTTATCTGCTTTTCATACTTCAGCTCTATCAGTGGATGACATTTGCCTAAAAGCTTTTTGCTTCTGGGCATGTTCTGTAGAGCCTTGGTTCTCAACTGGTGGGTCGGGACCCAAAAGTGAGTCGTGACCCCGTGTTCAGTGGGTCCCCGCATGCCTTCCACTTTTCTAGGTGAGATGCTCCTCTGCCTTCCCCTAGCACAGCACTGTCAGTTCTCGTGCCAAGCAGCCATTCAAAATATGCTGCCTGGCCCTGAGTGTCAGCTTGAGGTGGGGTGCGCTCCATCCATATGTGCATTGCTTACAGCTCCCTCGCATGTCCTGTAGAGGTGCCTGGACCGGAGTGATGTCACATTCTGCATCCCGGGACCTCTACAGGGCATGTAAGGGAGCTGCACAAGCAATGCACATATGGATGGAGCTCCGTCGCAGTACAGCAGCCCACACTGGGACTAGACTGAGGATCCACTCCAGTTCTCATAAGGTAGGCAGACTGGGGGGTGGATCTTAAAAAAAAGAACACATTTTTTTTTTTTTTTGGGAGTGTGTATGTGTGTGTGAGATTGTGTCTGTGTGTTGTTGAGGGCCCATTCACACAAGTACAGTGCGTTAATCGCACAGTCATGGACGAATAACTCACTGTACTTCGAAATCGCACCTACCACGCGTTTTGGTGTGAGAAGTGCATTGCATTGCCATTCATCTGAATGGCACCCCAAATGCACCTCCCACCCACAGTTGTATTGCCCGCATCGAAACATGCAGTACCACAATGCCGTGCGTTCCATTGCAGTGCGACTTGGGTCACGACTTAATGACCAAGGATAAATGTGGGTCCTGAGGTTACACAGGTTGAGAACCACTGTTGTAGAGCATAGCAATGCATTCTTCTGCTCTCAAGTCAAATATACAGTGTGATCTTTCAATCTGCAGCAGTTGGGATTTGTACATCGATAAGGAATAGAATGGTTTAAGTAGTCCAGCCCAAGTTGGCACACTATCAGTTTACATGGGGAAAAAATTGTTGTGCTGTAAACTATACAGCCATCGAGGGATGATGAAACCTTAGTGAGCTTGTCCGCCGTTTTAAACTTTTAAAAGTGAATGTCCAGCCAAGAAGCAGCCACTGAAAGGTTCTGCTGTGGGTTCCTATGAGCCTGGTTTTATTTCCTAAGGCCTTGTTCACATGGGCGGCCAAGAGGCTATAAAAACAAGTGGCTGATCTGCGTTTTTACTGCTGACAAGTTAGCACGGCAGCTAGACAGTGCGACAGCAAGAAATCAAAGTCCTCCATTGAGACTAACCGACACATTACCGTGCCTGCAATGCGGCTTGACACGTGGTTGCAGTGCAGTAGTTCTGTGAGAAATTCCCCTTGGGATAAAAAATAAGACATTCAGGAGCGTGCAGTATTGCCTCCCGAACACCTGGAAGCCGCTGATCTTCTACCCTCTGAAAGTGATTCACCACGTATCACTTTTTAGGGGGGCGGTAAAGTCCGCCTCTCGTGTGAATAAGGACTTAATAGAGGTTTTGACTTGCTTGACTCTGGTGCCAATCCCAATCATGTCCAGCATGAGTTCTTCTGTAACCAATAAAGGATCTCTATCTGGACAGGGGCATCAAGTGTGGTGCATGTTCAGGGAGTCTTTAAATGAACTGTTGCCGCTGAGTCAATGTCTGCCAGATGCTGGGGGCATCATTAAAGTGAAAACAAACCGCTAAATACAAAGTGTTTCCATGTTCTTCATGCAGCATAGCCAGATAAGTGATGAATATTGTTCCCTTTACTTTATTGTGATGGTGTTGTACATTTTTTACAGATTTCCTGTGGGGCCAAACCGTGTGATCTTCATGCTACGGGATGGTGGATACGCATGGGAGGTGAAGGACTTTCTGGTTGGCCAGGACCGGTGTGAAGATGTAACGCTAGAGGGACAGGTGTACCCCGGGAAAAGAGGAAATGGTAGTGCGAAGGTCCGGAACATTAATACACCAGAGAAGGAGAAGAAGAAAAAGAGCGACAGCAAGAAATCAAAGTCCTCCATTGAGACTAACCGACCATCGCCTGTAAAAGATGATTTATGACAGATTGCTGATCTCCAAAATCCAGGGACTCGTGTTCCTTTCTAGGACTAATCTGTACATGGATACTCATGTACATCACTGATTTTACAGATTATTCTCTCTTTTTGCCTTAATTTGGTTTCCTATAGTGAAATATTAATGATCTAAAAATTGGGCAGAAACCATGACAGTGGTGCTTTGTTACAAATACAATGAAGATGTTTCTACAGTCCACATTTCAAGATTATTTCTTTATACTGTTTATGGGGACTGCAGTGCCTTTTTGGTGCACGAATGTAATGTCTGGCATATAAGAGCAAATGTATACAGTAAATTATAGTTGAATGGAGTGAAAATATTCCTCTACACATTTTGGCACCTCAAAATATACAGTTCTAGGGCTCACCTTTTGAGTCTCTATAGATATCTGACATCCTGTGGACCGGATGTCAAAGTACTGGTCCGCAGAGAATTTGTCCAGTGTCCAAATGAATTGAGTTTGAGACCTTTGCTCTAGACCAGGGGTAGGCAACCTTGGCTCTCCAGCTGTGCTGAAACTACAAATCCCATCATGCTTCTGCATCTGGGAGTCATGCCTGTGGCTTGCAATGCCTTATGGGGTTTGTGGATTCAGCACAGCTGGAGAGCCAAGGTTGCCTACCCTGCTCTAGACAATACGTACTTGTGGCAAATGATTGTGTGCTGTCAAGAATTACAGCTGATGTTGCCACATACAGAAAGCAGAATTGTGAGCTCTAGGTAAGTTGTAGTTCTCCAGGGTTTAAGATCAGGAAAGTTGGAACTCAGTCAGAATATTATTTTACAGTCATTTACTTCAAATGTATAGGATATACATTATATATCATTACATAATATATAGGATAATCAAAAATGATCATATGGTACCCAAACAGCATTAGTAAATCTGTATATACCAGGAAGAGCATAGGTCAGTGCAAATGGCATATAGAAAGAAGAAATGACACATTGCTGAATAACAGGAGGAGTAAATGTTTAACTCGTGAATGAAAGCAAGAGACAGCGATGTACCAGGTTACCAGTTCTAAAGTGCTAATGCTTCTGTGTCGGTGAAGGTTTTATTATGGGAGCATCTGATTGGTCTGGCAATTACAAGTATTACTGCTGCTGTAACAACAAGTATCATACTTTACATCATCTCTTATTTATATCAGTGTTTCATCACCATGAACATGCCATACGTTTCAGGATTTGGTATGTTTGTTATGTGATGCAAAGTTGCTCCTGCAGTATTATGATGATCTGTTAACCCGTATAGAAGGTTATGTTGTACAGAGTATTGCTATGCTGTGCCAATAATGTATCCTGCAATACACATTCTTTTTAACTACAGTCTCTTGTGCATAATTCAGTAGTATCTAATAGTTTAATTGGACCTATTTATTTAGTAAAGCTAGTGCAAATTAAAATAGGCAGGCATGTTGCTTATAAAAGAACTCCAGGAACATTTTTAATTGTTCTCATTTATGTCTAGGTAAAAAAAAAGTTATACTCCCCATGCTCAGAGCCAGCCTTTTTTTTAGACCGTTTCCTAGAGCTTCTCTCTCTCTTAAAGTCCTGTAAACCATAATGTCTATACACAGTGTATAGAAGTGAGGAAGATTCCAGTGCTGCAGCGGAGGAGGGGACAGGCTGGAGGGAGCGCTGTGACAGCTGGTTGGCTTGAAGCTTCGGGTGAGTATAATTTTGTTATTTTTGCACCTAAACAAAAATGAGCACTTAGGGCCTGTTCGCACGACGTCCGTTTTCTGTGCTGACCTGATCCGTACGCTCCTGCACTAAAAATGTATCCCTATGTGTTTTATGGGCTCCAGTTCTCACGTGCGCAGTCCGTTCAGGTTACGACAGAAAAAATACTGCATGTCACATTTTGTACGGTTAGGAAACGCGAAACGCACTGCAGCTAACATACTGACAGCCCCACTCCAGCAAAAAAAACTGGAATGCATCCAAAACGCAGCAAAAACGCACTGCATCAGTAGCACCGCGTCTGCAGATCCGCACCTGATCAGGACCTGATATCATGTGAACAGGCCCTTAACCCTTGCAGTGCGGGGGAAGCCCCACTGCAAGGGTTAAGAAAGTTTTCCTGGCATTCTTTTAAAAAAACTAAATGGCTAATTTTAGATGAGAAAAGCAATCATGTGTTTTGTGATTCAGATTTTGAAACTAACACTCACTCTTGGGGCCCATTCACACCATGCGGGTGTGTTTTAAGGCACGCGTGACAATGTATTGCGTTAAGGAAGCCCATTACCTTTTTGGTAACACAGCGATCCATGATGCACTATAGTGAATTAATGTGTGCTGCAACACATTCAAACTGATTGCACCAATGCAGGCACTGGGGATGCAACAATACCGTTTTTTCCGTATCAATATTTCGCTTTCAGTACTCGCTGATTCTGAGTACCAATACCGGTGCTGGCTCAATTGTGATTGGCCAGGAAACCGGCTAATTAGCAAGCTGGGAGGCGGGTCATTACTCGCTGCCCAGCTTCCTGATTGCCCGGGAAGCCCGCTCCATGTTTCCCTACGGCACTGCCGGTCAGAGGAAATCTTCCTCTGACCGTAAGTTCTGGTATCGGAGCATTTGGGTGAGTACTAATACTCGGTATCAGCACAGATACTAGTATCGTGCATACCTAGCAGGCACAGGGCATTACCAAAACAGTGGTGTGATAAGCCCTTCATAACTTCCACCCCATTCTGGTTTTTTTGTACGTATTGGTGGGTGGTTACTTTTAGCCTGAAACACCCTAGACTTTGAATGCAGCCTTTGCCTGAGAACTTGGACAGCTGCTACAGAACAGAGATACCTATCATAAGAGTATTTCTTTCTTTTGTGATGTTACCTCTCGCTGAATGGTAATGCATGCATTTTTATTTGCACAGAGTGACTTTTATAGCCTTAGAACACCTGTATTATGCGAACAGGTAGATACGGTCATGTAGGATACATCTCGCCAGCTTGTGCACCAAGTCTGCAAATAGCAATAATGAGCCTTGACTGTAATTTACGAATCTATTGGCTCAAACCAGAATATAACTCACTTTCTGAAAATTTAGGACCGTTCTCCTGGTGTTAAATGAATACTATAGTCTGTAGCTTTAATTTGGGATTAGAGGTGCACAGATAAAAGACTTTGACAGAATTCTTACACCAATGCAGTTTTCCAGTGTGAGCAGATTCACACCTGTGCATTTTCACTTGATGCATTTTCTATTATAATCAATAAGGCACATAAAAACATGCGTTATGGTGCATGCTGATGTGTTAAGATGTGTTCTGACATTCAATTCAAATTTCATTGCAATGGCCATTAAAAAAAAAAAAATCAATGCATATGGTGATGTATTTTCATGTGTTCCAATTTAATATCAATGGGAAAATGCTTATGGAAGAAAAATGAATAGGCCCTGAAAGGGATACATTTGTAGCTGAGTGCTGACATCGGTCAGCTCCCAAAGCAAATCTTCCCACAAGTCATGGATCACAGGTTACACAACACACCTGCTTAATCATTTAATGGCTAACCGCTAATCTTATTAACTGCCATAAGGAAATGTACACGATTTGCATGTCCAAAAGGATGGCAGAAGGTAAAATATTCACAGCACTAAGTTAGTGATAACGCTTTCCCTTACACCAGCGTGTGCATCCTGTGCACGATTTGCTCTATAGTAATGTCGTTGAAATAAGGTCACAGAAAAAGTCATAATCGTCTGGTAGCTATGAAAAGCTGGGCAGAACATTATAATAGTTTGGCACAGTATACAAAATGCTGAGCAGAACAATTCTATCAGTTGGGGCAAGTGTTGAAGAAGCTGGAAAAGCAGTTATATCAGTTAGGCACAGGGTATGAAAGGCTGGGTATCATAGCCGCTAGCAAAGTACAGAGAGGCTGGGTAGAGTATTATACCAGCTAGACTCTGCTTATACATACAGTGTATCCATTCATCATAGTACTGTCAACTGAAGACACAGAGAGCGCCTCCATGGCATAAAAACTTTTTAATAAATGAATGAAAAGATGGTATAAAGGTACTCACAAAGGACGGATAAAAACTATGTATATAAAAAAATGATCATAATGTAAGAGATAAAAGATATATATATCGAGATAATATTTCTTGCACAAAAGGGTAATCGATTTATGATATAAAAAAATGTGTGATTATTATGAGAACGATATACAGCAGCTTCGGTTATGAAATTTAGACTCAGATCTTTAAGGTCACTGAAAGTAAGGAAGATGGGAACAGCGTGTGAATACCCACACAGTCAGATGCATTCTAAAGAAAGTACAAACATGCAATTCTAATGTGTTATCATAAATACGGACAAACTGCACATGCCCGTGCAACACACAACATTTTGATCTATTGCATATATTTAGATTAGTAGACCGTAGGAGACATCCCTAGATGGTAGCGAGTACGTTGTAATACAATAGACTGAGATGGGAAACTGTTTGATCACCATACAGAAAGTTCACACAATGAGATACATTTGTTAATAGAGAAGATGAAAAAATGTTAACTTCATAAATAAACAGGTATTTTGGAGAGGTATCAATTAGATAAGTTACAAATTGGATATATAGCTATAGAGTGGATATATATCAACATTGATGGGATTTATATGTAGATATTTGCGAACCCATGGATCAAAAAGGAGCCCGCAGAGGTCGAACAATGACCAACAAGCCCGCATCATGTAATGCTTAATGGAAGCAATCTATGCAGTATTTAAAGGTAAGGATCATAGATTACGACCAGAAAGAATATTATTTCATATTTGAAAAAAATATATACATATATATCTCCCTAAATGGCAAAGAAGGGAACCAAATTGAATCTAGGCATGAATTGCGTATGCCGATAAAAAAGACTTGTGTCTGATGTGTTTTTTAGGAACAAATAGTAAATAGAGACAAACAGAAAACACCCTTTTTTGCATATTTTGGAAATTAATTCACAAAGGTCATACTGTCCAAAAAAATTTTTTTTGGGTACAAGGAACATGGTGTAAACATATTTTACATGGAAACTTAACCCTGTATGGACAGTTTTCTAATGGCACGAAAGAGGCATTAAGATGGGATCTGAGAGAATAAATACAAATCTAGTTGATTGGAATAAATCAATAAATGGGTATCGTATAAAGGCAAATGATAAAAATATACATATGGTTCATACAGGAAACCTTCATTGATGTGAAACAAGCTAAGGGCATATTTGAGACACCGGTAAAGAGCAGCGTACAGCACAATTTAATTATAATGGAT